CGAAGGGCCGGAGTAATACGAGCCCGAAGGGCTAGAGTAATATGAGCCCGGAGGGCTAGAGTTATACGCGAGCCCGAAGAGCCGGAATTATACGCGATTCCGAAGGGCTAGAGTTAATTTAATCACGGGACTCAGTCTATAATTCTATTGGTCAGCAGATAATTTAGAGCCAATTAAAAACCGGTAGTATTTGAAATACGATTTTTAGCGTCCGATCAAAGAGTCGGAAATATTCAAAAACTTTAGTATTATCAAATTTATATTGGAATGTTGGTTTTCTTAGGATTTTTACTTTTTTCAGAAAGCGGTGGTTTTTGCAAACATATACTACTTTATCGTTGTCTTTGTCTTACTCACTATAATCAATAAGGAAACCTTGTAATGTCATTTTCATTGAAATTAAAATAAAAACAAGTTTCCTATAATTTATTTCGGGAATTTTAATTATTATAATCATCATTAATTAATTATTAAATTGAACTTTAAACAAAAAACCCTTTCAAAATGTTATTTTTGTTTTCCGAATGCAACGTTGCTTTTAGTTGGCCATTTTGAAGTGACGCCTTGTGATTTTTAGCCAGTTTTTTTCTCGAATTCTCGACTTTTCCAGGGTTTTTTAATGGAGAAAAGCGATTTAACATACGAGGCTTCGAATTTTCTTCATTTTCTAGCAAAAATGTCCAGTTTTAAAATGACATAAATAACAAAATCCCATTTAAAATGCTTTTTTTAGAAGTTTTGATGTGGCAACACCGCTTGTGCTAACTTCAAGTAGGTTTTGTAATAAATTTCATTTGCCAGTTTTGACAGTCGGCTATTTTTAATTGAAGTGTTTACATTTCTATCCAGTTTTTCCTCGAATTTTCTGCTTTTCCAGGCCGTTTTCAGTCAAGAAAACCGATTTGAAATACGAAGCTAAAAATTCCCAGTTTTCCAATGGGGTAAGTAACAAAAACTCAAATTTCATTAAGTAGGCTTTGGAATGTCATTTTTAGAGGTTTTTCTTTGGATTTTCCGATTTTCTGATTTGAAAAACCGTTTTAAAGTACGAGGCTTTGAGTTTTCTTCATTTTCTGCTTAAAATTTCCAATTTTCCAAGGGGGTAAGTAATAAAAACTCAAGTTTCATCAAGTAGGCTTTGGAATCTTCCTTTCAGAGGTTTTTCTTTGGATTTTCCGATTTTCCGGGGCTTTTCTGGTCGGAAAAACCGATTTAAAGTACGAGGCTTTGAGTTTTCTTCATTTTTTGGTAAAAATTTATAGTTTTAAATGCCATAATTAGCAAAATCCCATTTAAAATGCTTTTGATGTGACAACATCGCTTGTGGCTAATTTCAATCAAGGAAGCATTTTTGACAGTCGGCCATTTTCTTGTTTACATTTTTATTCAGTTTTTCTTCGAATTTCCACTTTTCCGGGGCTTTTTCAGTCGGGAAAATTGATTTAAAGTACGAGGCTTCGAATTTTCTTCATTTTCCACCAAAAATTTCCAGTGTTTTAACGGGGTAAGTGAGAAAAACTTTAGTTTTATCAAGTAGATTTTGGAATGTCATTTTCGTTGGTTTTTTTTTTGGAATCTTTTTTTAAGGTATTTGGGGTCGGGAGATCTTTTTCTACCACTTTTTTTCTCGAAATTCGCAAAATAAAATATAAAATAAAAAAAAACTTTTTTGACGTTGACAGCTGTCAATTTTTTTTGACACAAATCGATAGGTGGCGTCGTGAAACTGCCTTGTACCGGGGTTCGATTTTCGTAGCTTTTATAGTAGAGCGGGGAAAAAGTCGAACATGTGTCAAATTTGACAGGTGACATCTGTCGATATTCCCAAAGTGTCGTGCGACAAAAGTTTTATCCGAACGAACCCGTTCATTGTTAATTGATTTTAATACTCCAGCCCTTCGGGCCGTAATCTTTGAAACAAAAAGACGTCATTTTGTATCGATTGTCAAAAAAACCCAAGGTTTGAAATTTCAATTTTTTGACGTTTGTTGTATCATGAGCATTGTTGCCATATGTTTTTTTTTTTCAAATCTCGAGCTCGAAGGGCCGAGATTATAGGTTATTTTAAAGCCAATCAAGAGCCAGGAATAATCAAAATTCGAATCCCCAAACCAATCAGGAGCCGAGAAAATTCAAAAATTCGAATTCCAAACCCGACGGGAAATCAAATTTTTTGTACCAACTGTTGCTACATGTTGTTACATAAATCTCACCTTAAAACCCACTAAAAAACGACAGTTTTAATGGGCATATAGATTTAGCCTCGGCGAATACGTAGGAAGCAGTGTTGCCAGAATTGAAACACTAAAAAAACATCTTAGCCGTTTTCTCGCGTTCACTTCTTTGACATTGGTTCAAAACCAGTTTGAAACAGTCAATGGAAACACCATTGCTCATTTCAAACCTGTTTTGAACCAATCTCAAATAAGTGAACGCGAGAAAACAGCTTAGATGTTTTTTAGTGTTTCAATTCAAATTAAAAATACTATACTAGAAAAAATATGATTTTTTTGAGTACGCAAAATGTTGGAAACTTGAAAATAGACCTTGCATTAAAAATTACACCAACAGGAGTAACGAGAAATCAAATGAAACTATTTATTAAATTTATCAAGGTACTGGGTGGGTACTTGTCAAATTGAAAATAATTTTTTTTTTTAACGTTGATGCTCGATTATGTGATGTGTCAATTGTGTCATACTCCCCTAACTCCCCCACCATCAAATTCTGGGATACTCGATGATCAGGAACACTTAAGCTGTTTTCTCACGGTGGAACTTGTTCGATTCGGTTCAATTAGGTTCCAACCTGTACATTCTTGCGTTGAACCAGTGACGTCACATTGAACCTGGTTCAGAAAAGTTCGAACCGGAATCATAACTTGTTCTTCGTAAACATAAAACTGTGGTTCAAACCTTCCATTTTCTCGCGTTCACAAGTAATGACGTCATCTACAAATTGGTTTAAACCGTAATTCAAACAATTCGCTCCGCGAGAAAACGCTTTTAATTTTTTCTGTGTGAGAACAGACCAAAAATCACCTTTTCTACATTTAAAATCGACAAAATCTAACTTTCTAGCACAGCCTAAATCGCAAGCACTCCATCGAGGTCTACGGGCTACGTCATCACTATAAGCTGCTGATAGTGACGTCGCAATTTGATGGAGAGGGAGTTAGGAGAGTATGACACAATTGACACATCACATAACCCATCATAATCACATGCAACAAGGTTGTCAAGCAAGGTACTCAAACCTCACCCAAACCCAATTTGGCCAACATACATAAGAAAAAGAGGAGAATTTAGAAATGTGGTTCATATTACCATAAAATATTACCCAATCAACTTAATATTTCAAAACTGTGGTACATTACCGTACTACCGTACGCATTGATTTTCTTGTAACGAAGATGCCCTAAACTGTCGTACAAATACCACACCTGTCGTACGTCTGGCAACGCTGGTAGGAAGTACCAATTTTTTTTTTTTAACAATATGTTAAAAAAGACGTTCGGCGTTGCTAGGCGGTTGGTTTTTGACATAATATATCGATGAAATTTCTTATTTTAGGGTTTTTGGAGCCTGGGGATAATTTTCTGACATTTGATTTTTGAAAAAAAGAAAAGGTAAAATTTTTTGACATTGACAGATGTCAAAATTAAAAAAAAAAAACATATGGACATATAGATTTAGCCTCGGCAAATACGTAGAAAGTATCCAAACAGGGCTAATTTTTTGACGTTTGTTGTATTATAAGCAGTGTGTAATTTGTGAATTATTATTTTAATTAGAAATCAGGAATAAAAAATTGAGATTGAATTTTCAATTTTTTGGGGGAGGCTTAGCCTCTCCTGCCTCCTCTGACGAGTCGCCATTGTGAAAATTTGTATACAAGTTGATCAAAATCCCAGAAAAACTTGTAAGATCTACTCAAAATCACTGAAAATCTTCAAAATCTTTTAGCCTCCTCACTTGAAACAGTCACGAGCCGCCACTGGCGCTTAGTAACTTACCCTGTATAGATAGAAGAAGAAGAAGATAAAAGATAAAACTTACCGTTTTGCTGAAAAACGCAAAAATCCATTATTGAGAATTTGAATAAAAAAATTTCTAGGTACGGGATCGATGGGGACTCTTTACCATTCATTTATAATGGTATTCCAAACATTCATACCAATTCAGCTCTATGCGAATTTTTGTACCTTTGCATGTTTAAATTGACCGGAGTACAACATATTATTTAAGAAAACAGATAGTTGCTTTAAACCATACACATGTTTAAACATACAGCATAAGTTGATCCTCAACAATGAAAAATCGAGTGCTTTTATATTTAGAACAAAGCATTGCAACCTAAATAAAGTGATAAGGCTGTGAATATTGTGGATAGTGTTGAGGTCCTGGGGATAAATAGTTGCTCAGGGCATATAAACAACCTATTAAAAAGATTAAATTCTGTATGTTACGGAAGAACAATTACGAACACTTTCTATTAGTCCTAAAGTATGGAATTATTTTTTGCGGGGGAATATTAACATACAAATGATTTTTGTTGTTCATAAGCGTCTTCTTATAACTATGCAATTTACATTATATTCCATAGGAAATATTTGATTATGAAAACGAACAAGTATACTACGAACAGTTTTCACTGGCCTGGACATAAATAAAGAGTTTCTTGTAAATCAGGGCAGTCTAAAATCATACAAAAAAACGAAATATGATATCCATGTTAAAAAAAATGTAGAGCTTTTGAAAAAATATAGTATCGATAACCATAAAGATTATTGCTAAAATATACACTTAAGTTTTAATTAGGAAAAATATAAATCATGACTCATTTTGGTTTTCCAAAAAAATTTTCTATTATGTAAAAAATAATTCAATAACCAAAAATCAATGGGCAAGTTGAAAAAATTCACGAGACCATACCATATTTGATCAGTGATTATACACTTACAATAATTAGGAATAAATTGGGTATATAATAATAATAATTATTACCTAGGTATACTAATCTACACAATATAAAAAAAATTATGAGCAATAATTAATGGATATAAAACCTTTTGCAATTTGACCTCAAATTCTACATATATTAAAAAAAAAAATAGCCAAATTTTAAAAGGTTTTTTTTCTTTGAGCTAACAATATAAGGTCTGTTCCAACCTGTCAAAAAACTCGTATAAGAATTTTGAATTCTACGCACAAATTTTACGTTTTGCGCAGAATCCTGACAATGAAATGTACGGTTCCATGCTGGGATGGAACAAAGCTATAATCAATTGACAATAATTGTAAATAAATTCTTATTTTTAAGACACATTTTATCTGAAAGACCATTTTTCTTTTGTAAATATAAAAATACACCTTATTTTTTAGATTTGCTGTTGCTAAAAAATCCTCTAAAAATATGTTTTTCGGTTTTGACGGCTCCTATGCAACTACTGTCCAAAATTGCACTAAAAAAATTACTTTATTAAAAATTATTCAATAATGTGGCAGTGCTGTATTATCAATTTTTATATGTATAAACAAACACACTGGTACCAAATGTCACTTGCTACTAAAACACTTTCATGCAACAATCCTTATTGGCCTAGTGAGACTCATTTCTAAAAATTAGCTTAAACAAGCTCTCAAATAATAAAGTTTAGTTCTTGGCAACAATTCAACATTCTTATTAAACTCCAATTAATATCCCTTCAAAAAAAAAAAACTGCAAACTAAACTAAAGTAACCGATTAGTACTAGTACCACTTTTGCTACTACTAGCGCCATACCCCGCAGGAACGGTGAACCTGATGAGCCTGGTGAGCATGCTCATGAGGCACGGAATCTGTTTTTGACGGTGCATCGACATCGAATCGGGCACGTTGCTTTCAAAGTCCAGAGCTACGCGCTGAGACACGTAAGTCAGGATGGTGACCAGATCGTCTTTGTGGGCGCGATTGCGCAGTTCGTCGCAGAAGGCTTGGATGAACCAGGAACCTTTGGTGGTGTTACGCCACGAGTAGTAACCTGGAACAAGGCAAATATGACGTAAATGAGTTTCTTATTCAATTTTACTATACTAGCTATAGTATGGGTGTTACAAATTCGACTATGTGCAAGGGGATCTCGGAAAGCCTAAGAGATACGAGATTGATTAAATTGAGGCAAAGTTTCGCAATTTTATGCTTAACAAAATACACAATAGTTCCGGAAATATTCGGAACAAACCAAAATTATACAATTTTCACAAAAGTGTATTTATTTTTTTCTAAGCTTATTCGAAGAGATACCCCAAAATAAATGTCACTTCATCATTGTCGCTTTTTCTCCTATGACGTTTCGTCTTTAGGCCATATATGCTGATGTATGGTATTATAGAGAATTTGTGTATATATTTCATATTGTTTATATGTATTTCATCATCATCAACAAGAACTTAATTTTTATGACAATAAAGCATATTCGAATTGATTTTTATTTGAATGAATGTTTTTTCTTTAATTTGAATAGAGAACTTTACAATTTTTTTTTAATTTTTTCAAATCATTTATTTATACCTCAAAAGAGTATTACCCAAATATTATTTCCAGTGATGCCAGGTCTGGTGAAATTTGACCAGATCTGGTGATTTTATGAAAAATCTGGTGATTGGTGAAAAACTTTTTGACAATGGCATACACTTTATAAACATCCCCCGTAATGTATTGCGATTTTACTTCATTAACATACAAATTTCATTTGTTTGACAGAAAAACAAATACCCATAAGTGGTGTGTAAGGTCCTTTGATTTTTATAGAATAAGAATAAGAATAAAGTTACTTTATTTGAGCCCTTAGAACATGAAAAAAAATTCTACATAGGTTCTTCCTATACTATACAGTCTATACTTACACACTATAGGTACAGTGTTACTATGCTAAAATATACAGGGTGTTAATAAATAGTGGGATCAAACTTCTAGGATAAATGGTACTCATTAAAATAAGAAAAAAGTTAATAGAAAGATGAGTCCGCGAATGCTTAGTTTCCAAGATACAGGGTGTCAAAGTTTAAAAAAAAAACGTTTTTTTAGCTCAAAAATCCCTTTCCCAATTTTCTTTTTCAAATTTGGCAGGTTTGTTTGTGATAACAAAAGGTACCTTTTGAGTTTTGATTGTAATACATATATACGTAATTCAAAATTTCAAAAAATATTCTGAAATTACAAAAAAATAGGGGAATTACAGGAATTATTCCAAAAATGCAGGAATTACTCAAAGTTATTCAAAATTACAGGAATTATTTGTAAATTACGGCAATTTTCTCAATATGTATTACAAAAAATTACAGAATTTACGAAAAATGGAAATTATGAAAAATTACGTGAATAACGAAAAATTACGAGAATTATGGACATTACGAAAAAATCGAAAAATTATGAAAATTACAGAAATTATTGCAAAAATTTTAAAATTTTCAAATGAGAAATCACTCCATAAAAAATTCTGCAAAATTGACTTATTTAAGCAAAATTAAGGAAAATTCACTTCTGACATTTTAATTTTTTTCTGGAAAACTGGCAGAGAGAAAATTTTGAATGTTTTCCAAGAAAAAGGGGAAAGTGTGGGGCTTATTATAGGAAAATTTCGAAATTTTTCAGTGAGAAATCTCTCTAGGGAAAATTCTGGAAAATGACTTTTTCAAGTAAAATTAAGGAAAATTCATCCTCTCACATTTCAATTGTTTCCTAGAAAATTGGCAAAAGAGGAACAAGAGGAAAGTCAGGAGCTTATTATCCTCTCACATTTTAATTTATTTCTGGAAAACCAATAAAGCAAAACTTGTGAAATTTTTCCCGAAGAAAGAAGAAAATGAGGAGTTCATTATAGGAAATTTTCAAAATTTTCTAGTGAAAAATCACCCTAAGGAAAGTCGATAGGAAAGTTCTGGTAAATTGATTTTTCTAAGCAAAATTCATCCTTTCACATTTAAATTTTTTTTTGGAAAACTGCTAAAGGGAAAATTTTGAAAATTTTCCAGGATGAAGAGAAAAGTGAGAAGCTCATCATAAGGAAATTTCGAAATTTTCCAGTGAAAAATCACTCCAGGAAAAATTCAAAGAAAATTTCACTTATTTCGGCAAAGTTAAGGAAAAATCATTGAGGTAGAATAATAAGGAGAAAAAAGCCTATTCCACTTCCGCCATATTGTTACGACACTTGTGTCTGAGATTCTGTCACTTTTGTCATAGCAATGCGTCAAAATTGTATCAGGGACGCATTTTTCATCCGAAAATTTTTTAAATGCAAAAAATTTTTGAAGCCTAGAATTCCTATTTTGGGTCTTGGAAGGATCTCCTGTTTCAGTATGTTGAAGTTTCTGTAGCTACTTTTTTTTTCTTGGTGTAATTTCGATTTTTCAGGGTTCAGTGTTGGGACCGCTGCTCTTTCTGATATATGTCAACGATCTGGAAAGCAGCGTTCCTGATGCTAAAATGGTGTTGTTCGCAAACGACACTACAGCATTAAAAAGGATTCACTCTAGAGATGATTTACAAATGATCATGGTGTAGACACAGTCAAGTGTCTCTGAATGGTTGGTTCTACAGTAACCAACTCAATCTCAACAAAACAAAGACAGGGATTATCGAGGGGTCGACACCTCCTAGGTCCTTATTCTTGAAATTGGGGAGCAGCGTTCCCAAGAGAACGAGTGTTCCGTCTTTGTTAATCATATTATCAGTTGCATATCGTTGAGAAAGACGGAACACTAGTTTTCCTGGGAACGCTGCTCTCCTGTTTCAAGAATAATGACCCTGTGGACACCTCCTGACAGTAGGTGTACAAATCAGTTCACAGTACCTACAATACCTGAACAATACCGTCATAAGTCCCTAAAAATACCATATATTTTCATAACAATTGTCACAATACCTTAAATGACTCACAAAACTTTCAAAATAGCTCTACAGTACTAACAATACTGAAACAATACCAAAAATCCGTCAAAAATAATTAACAGTATCTCTACAGTATTCACAATACCTGCCGACAATACTGATAATCTCTTGACAATACTAAAAGAATATGTGTGAATCGGGTCACGAGCTTTTAAAAGCGTTGCACCACATGACATGATCAGACCAAATGGCAGAGAAGAGTGGTGCATTCATTCGCAAATTCGCAATAAAATAGGTGAAGTGTCATATTGCAGTGAAAGAAAGTTTTGTGAAAATGTACAGTCGTGAGCACAAAAAATGGGACACCCGATTTTTCCGATTGTAAAACGGGCTCACAGCTACACTGTCGGCAATGACAGGGATTATCATATTTGACGAAAAATCCTTTGTACAGAAAAGACTGATTTGCCCTCGAATTTATCCAAAATAATGAAAAATGACAAGACCTGTCAGCCGGGTGTCCCACTTTTAATGCTTATTACTGTCAGTATTTATAATAAACAATAAAGCCTGTTTTACATATTACTGTTACTACAGAGAGAAATACATAAGCGTCGAACAGAAATATAAGCTGTGTATTTGACCTTAAATATATACATGTATCAATCCACAAGACAAAACCTGCTCTAATGGCATGTAATCTTGACAGTTGAATTGAAGAGGGCGCTTCTGTACTTGGAGCCAGGGCCGGTCCAATAGCTATTATATACCAAGGCAAAGCTCAATTCTGGCGCCCCCTCCCCATCCTCCTTTTCAAATTGTGATAAACAATGAATTTCTGTTATCATAGAAATCACAAACCAGAGAGTTTTTGATTGGTGCAAATCGCCAACAATCAGTTTTCTGTTCCTGTTTTCAAGCAAAGAAATTCGCTCATAGGTTTGTGACTTCTGTAATAACAGACATATACTGTAGGTATATGTATTTTTCAAATTAACTTAATACAAAAATAATTTTTTAAAGGTAATTAAATTATTAACAATAAAAATAAACCCGTCTGACTTTACGTCTTGCAATGTCAGAGATGTAGGTCTATTCTCATAGAAATCACAAACCAGTCAGAGCGAATTTCATTGGATAATAAAATAGTCAGAAAACTGGTTGTTGGCGAATTGCACACCAATCAAAAACGTTCTGACTGGTTTGTGATTTATGTGAGAACAGACTTATAATCTATACGATTGAACATGCTATAACTAGGGAGTGTGTTCATGGTCGAAGATTATAACATTTTCAATCCCTACAACGAAAGTCCGCCTAATCTTTCTTGAGACAAAGATATCGAAGGTGCCATGATGAGCGGTGTGAGATGACACGTAAATAAGGCTACCATATTATTCTGATAAAAAAACGGGACATTTTTATGAAGCAAATGTGTCATGTATTTATAGAAAAAATAGCGCCGCAGAAAAAATAGCCTATCCTCATGAGGCCTGTGTACAACAAATCCGAAGCCCCCCTACCCCACTAATTCACCATTTGTGACGTAGATAGCATGTCGTTTCTCGCCTTGACGTAGGCTGTTTGCACGACAGGTTATGATTCCATCTTTCTATTTGCCTATTATGCTTGATCAAAATAAAATAACATTTTTCATCATAAATTTAAATTCTAAACTACGACTGCTGGCGTAAACAGCTGACGTCACTGACGACTTAGTTGATGACGTCGGCAATGGTGATACACCAATATGGTGGGGATTACCCAAAACGAGGCCGATAAGCAATCCTTAGTGGTGTGTATGGTCTTTGGGCCAAACTCGCTAAATTCTAAACTGTCAAATGTCAAATGCTGATGAATAACCACCACGTTGCGATTTGCTAAGACTAGAGATGAGGCGCAAAAATCGATTTATTTATGCCACCACAGAGACTGGTAATGAGACGGGCGAATTATTTTACGCTTTTTGTAATATCGAGAATACGGGACATTTACGCGTCCCGACAACAAATTTGGGGACGCGGGACATGGATCTTGAAATAAGGGACTGTCCCGTATAATACGGGACGTATGGCAGGCTTACACGTAAATGAACTATTAACGCACAATGTTATTACATCTTCAATTTTTTACCTATTATCATTGTGA